GCTGTGATGGGGGCTCACTCCACATCCCTCCGATGGATGGATGGATGGAAGGATGGAAGGATGGATCCATCCCGGATGCTTGACACTACAAATGGGGGATGCTCCTGGCCATCCCTGCCGCCGACTGCTCCCAGGGATGCTGATGGGAGTGTGGGTCTGTCCCCTGTGAGCCAGGCTGAGCCCTGAGGTGTCCCTGCTGGGCAGCCCCTGTTGTGGCATTGCTCTGCCTGGGCTGTGCTGACACGGGCCTGGTGCAGGTGCTTCAAGAGCAGGTTTTATACCATGTATGTACAAATGCAAAGAATAAAAGGAACCGGTAGTGACTGCAGTGCCCTGAGTTCCTGGGTGGTGGTGGTGGGGGGGGATATGTTGGACCCTGCTGCATGCAGGGACCTGGCTTTGTGCTGTCACCGTCCCCAGCCCCTGTCCTGCTGCTCCCACCATCCCTGCCTGGATCCTGCCTGGCAGATTGCCCCTGGCCAGTGCTGTGGCCCCTACAGAGGCTGTGCTTTATCTGCCCTGTGGTGGGAGGAAGCGGGTGAGCTCCCACTGACCGGATCTGGCTCTGGGCTGGGACCCTCCGGCCAGGCTGGATCCTGCCAAGGGATGGCTCTGCCAAGATGCTGCTCTGCTCCTGCAGCCCCATTCCCTGCCAGCCAGGGAGCGATGGCTGAGCAGGACCGGCTGTCCCGGCTGCTCCCATCCCATGGCTCTGCCCCTGCGGCAAACAGGATTCCCTCACTAGAGGCGGGTGGGGAGGATGGATCCTGCCCTGGATGCCCCAGTGCTCCCGGTGGGCTCTCCCCTGGTGAGGCCGGTGGGAGCGGGTGAGTGCTGTGCCGCAGTGGGGACACAATAGGGTCCTGTGCGTGTGCCAGGGCCGATGCAATGCCCCGTGGTGTGGGACATTGGGCTATTGTCTGGGATGGGAGAACAACAGCAGCTGCTCTGAGCTCACCGGGCTGCCTCTACCCCGGCCACTGCAGCACAGCCCCAGTGTCCTGTGCCAGCATCCCCTGCCCTGAGCTGATGGTGCTGGTCCCTGCATCTGCGAGGCCACCAGGCTGCTGGCGGGGGGACACCTGGCTCTGGTCCTTTACTGATGCTCTCATGCAAAGCAATGGGGCAGGGTAGGTCACTGGGGTTTGAACCCCGTGCTCCCTGCTGGTGCAGGGAGGGGAGAGGCCCTCGGGTGACCCAGCACCGGCCGCCTGCGACTGTCACTTGGCAATGGTGATCTCTGTGACAACTGTCAGCTCCAGCCTCCCGCTCGGCAGCACCGCGCTGCCGCGAGCCGACGGGGCAGAAAGAGCCCTCTGTGGGATTGAGGTTACCCCAGGAATGGGCTCCTTCCTGTGAGGGTGCTGAGGCGCTGGCACAGGGTGCCCAGAGAAGCTGTGGCTGCCCCATCCCTGGCAGTGTTCAAGGCCGGGTTGGACACAGGGGCTTGGAGCAAGCTGCTCTATGGAAGGGGTCCCTGCCCGTGGTTGGAGCTGGAGGAGCTTTAAGGTCCCTTCCATCCCAAACCACTCTGATTCTATGCCACAGCTGCACTCAATGGGGACAATGCCATGGGTCCTGGGTCCTGGTTACAGTGCCAGCAGCACCCGCAGCCCCTCCATCCTACAGCACAGGGTGGACACCTCAGCACGGGACCCGGGGCGTGCGTGAGCCGTGGCTGCTCGGTGCGGGTCGGTGCACAGGCCCCCCGGCAGCGCTGCTCCAGTGCATTTATAGCTACTGACAGAATGGGAGCAGGTCTCCATCCCCGATGTGTCAGGCCATGGCACTCCGGGCGTGTGTCGGGATGCTCATGGCTGCGGGATGGAGAAGGGACGGAGCATTAGGTTAAACCTGGGGGCTGCGGGGTCCTTTCTGGCTGGCACCAAGAAGCGGTGCAGCACCATGGTCATGCCCAGCAGGTGCTGCTGCAGCCTGGCAATGGGGACCGAAGGTGACCTGTTTGTCCCTAGGGTACAGATGGTGATGTGGGGCTGCTCTGCAGGCACTGGAGAGTGGCCCTGGGGACAGTGCTGCTGTGCACCCAGCGATGCTCAGACACAGGATCCATCTTTCACGGTGCATTCGGTTCCAGCACTGGGGCCGTGTCTGGCTCTGCTGGATGCCGAGCAGCATTCCCGGTGGGAGGGGGTTAACGCAGCCCCTGGTGCTCCTGGGGAGATGCGGAGCAGCTGCTCTGCCCCGGCGCTGGGGCTGGAGGAGAAGCAGATGTCGGTGCGGAGGCAATTACAGGGATGCGCTGGGGCCGGGGCTGAGCTCCCTGCACCACCAATCCCGGTGCAAATTGACATCAGATGTGGGCAGCTTCTCCCTCTAAAGCAGCGCCCGGGGCTGCGGCAGGGGTTGGGTTTGCTCTGGCTTGGGGAGGAGGAGGGGTTCTCAGTGCTGCTGGGGCCCCGGCTGGCTGCAGTGACTTGCAGAGTGTGGTGATAGCCCTGGGATATCGATCCTTTCTTTGGGTAGCCTCAGTACCAGCCCCTCTGCAGGCCTGGGGGTGCCCCTTGCCAGAGCAGGGGTGATGCAGGAGCTGGTGGCTGGTGTGGGTTGACTTGGAGGCTGGTGTGGAGCAGCAGCGAGGAGCTCAGCCCCTGCCCTTCCTGGGTATGGACAGTAAGTCTGGGCCAGGGCCCTGCAGCATCCTTGGGGGGTGTTGGGGTTCTCCTCCTTGCTGCTTGTCCTGCTTGGGCTCCTGCCGAGGCCAGGCTCGCTCTGGGCATTGCTTCCTTAGGGATGCATCCAGCACAGTGCTGAGGGGGCTGAGATGCTCCTGCCCTCGATGGCACCAGCACTGAGGCTGGTGGGTGAAGCTCTCCCTGCTCTGCTTTCCCTACAGAGCTGGGGGCAGCCATCTGCACCTTCTTCCACCAAGGGCTGTGCACCAAGGGTGAGTGCTGGGGAGGGATGGGACCAGCATCACCCTGCAAGACCCTGGGGACACCAGGATGGGCCCCTTTTCCCTCCAGCCCATGCCCATGGCAGGTTTCTCCATGGCCTTACAACCAGTGCGTTGGCAGTGTTTGCCCCAAATGCTAGCACTGCTCAGAGCCCATCACCCTCCCAGCCCTTGGGATGGGTGCTCCCACCCCTTTGGCACTGGGGAGGGCTCGAGCCCCTCCAGGGCAACCAGACCTTGTCAGTTCCTTGTGGACCAAGCCCTGTGCACCCAGTGGGTGCTGCACATCCCCTCCCCATGGGAAAGCTCCTCCTGGGATGCCCCAAGCTGGGAGGCGCAGGATGGGGGATCCGGGGTGCAGGCAGGATGGCCGCAATGGGTGCTGTGGGGCACAGGGAGGTGTGACAGCGGGTGCATGGGGTGGCCTGGTGTGTGCTGCCCCTTCCAGCCCGCCGGTGGGGTGAGGACCCTGGTGTGAGGGCTCTGCACCAAGGGCAGCGGCTGCTGCTTCCTGCCTGAGTGCGACCAGAGCAGGATGCCCGAGTGCTGTTTCTGCCCCACGTTCAGTAGGTGCAGGAGCCTCTCCCACCTCCAGCACCCGAGTCCCGCAGGCCTGGCCTCCAGCAAGCGCTTGATGCCACCTCCTGTCTGCTGGGAGAAATGCCCCAAAGCCTGGGTGCTCCTGGGGCATCCCGGTTCCTCCCCATCCCAGAGTGATTTCCATTGCATTCGGTTGAGGGTTGTCCTGCTCTTTGCTCCTGCAGGTGAGTGCAGCAACAAGGACTGCCCCTTCCTGCATGCTGATTGCCCCTGGTATGACCCTGGCTTCTGCAGGCAGGGTGAGCTGCTAGGATGGGTGCTGGGGGCTGCCTATGTCCCCTACTTACCTAAATAGGAACCTCTCCTTTGCATGGCAGGTCCCTGGGCTTCTGCCCAGAAGGACCCAACTGCACATTCATGCAGTAAGTACTGGGCAGGCTGGGGGGAAAAACCCACCCGTGTGGGGCTGCAGAGGTGGCCGTGGTCCCTGCAGTGTCTGGGTCAAGGACAGTGGTGTTTTGGGTCTTTATCTGAACTAACGGAGCCCCTCTGGTCTCTCCCCGTGTCCATCCTGAGCTGGTGACTGCATGGTTTGCAGCGGGTGGGCAGGGGATACCCCAGTCCCTATGGGAAGCCACAGAGGAATGTGGGGGTACCACTTACTATGTCCCAAGGAGTAACTGCCTGCTCTATCCCTCTGCAGCCTCAAGGCCGGGCTGATGATGAGAAGCACAGACCCATCCAAGGTGATGCAGAGATGTCCTTTTCTCCCGTACCTCTGCCCATCAGGGCGATGCAGAGCTGCCTCTGCCCCACAAGCTCCTACAACTGCCCCATTCCCTCCAGGGAGCTGGCTGTCCTTGGGGGCTGGTACAGCTGGACCTGGCTGCCACCAAGGAGACTGGACACAAGGATGAGCTGCCCATGGAACCCCCTCTACCAGGCACTGGAGCTACCCAGCACCCAGCCATGGGACACCAAGAGCTGCTCCCCGGGCACACAGACCCTGCCCGAACAAGGCACTGGCTTAAAGGCGAGTGGTGTTGGGACTGGGAGCAATGGTTCACCTTGGAGGAAGGGTGAAGGGAAAGGATGTGAGAATATACACATGTAACGGGGCACTGGACTGATCCAGCACAAACCTGGTGCCTGCCTCTCCCTGTCATCCCAGTGCAGGCAGAAAGGTCACAGCTCCAGTAACTGTGGGAAGACACAGCTGGAAATCCTGCTGGGGAAGTGACTCGAGTGCTTCAGCACGGACATGGAAGGATACAGCAGAGCAGGATGGAGCCAGCGAGGCAGCTGCTGGACTAGAAAAGCCAGTTGGGCTTGGTTTTGCCCAGCACCAGCTCCCACAAGCAGCAGAGAAATCACAGCTTCCTTAATGCAACTAAACCTGGGCTCTTCACAGCTGCCCCATGCCCTCCTGCACAGGCAGCCACAGGTTTGATGGGAGTGGGGCCCTGGCAGATGGGGGTGTGGGGATGCCAACCCCTGGGAAGGGGGCAAAAGCACCACGTTTGAGAACACACAGGACCAAGCAGGCAAGGCAAAGCCACACAAGCTTTTACTGCTGCTGAGAGGGAGGGAGTTAGTGGTGAACCCCCCTGACACAGCTGACACAACTGCCCCACTCTGAATAAAGAGGTTGGATCTTTCTCACTTGGCTTCTGTTTTAAGCCCTTCATGCCTGTAGCATGAGCAACCCTTTCCCAGACATGTTTGGCAACAGCAGGCTACAACCAGCACTGTGCTAACTGTGCTCATCAGTCTGATGCAGACACGGGTTTGCCCTTTGGGCACAACAGCTCATCCAATGGAATTTTTTCCTTCCCTTCCTCCAGAAATAGGGCGCTGTGGTCCGAGTGCTGCTGCTCTCATGGCTTCACCTCGGAGCCTGGCAGTTGCACCAGTGCTGTGCTGACAGTGAAGAGGGCTGGGGGGTCTTTGTGGAAGGAAAGAACCCCCTTTCTCCTGTTAAACCCCATCAAGGTAAGTAAAAGATGGGCTCTGACTTAAAGGGAACGGTTACTCTGGCCATAGCCCATCACAAACCTTACATCACCCCGACTACAACGTACAGGTCCATTAATCTATAGCAGCAGTGCAGGAATTGTCCTGTGCCTGGTGTCCCAAAGCAAGATTTAGGCTTTTGCAGACTACAGGAGCTCTGCTGCACCCTGACTGCCCAGGGTGGCTCTGCTGCTTTCTTCTTTCAGTACTAAAAGCTGCCTGAGCCTCAGAGCAGTGACTGCAGGCTGTCAGCGTCCTCCCTCTGCCTACAAGGAGGTAACTGCAAAGCAGCCCCTCTGCAATGGAAGAACCCAACTCTGACCTCTGCTGATTTGAGTCCCTGCTGGCACACTGGTTCTGAGCTCTTCTGCTGGCTCCCAGCAGAGATTCCTGACCGTTCCTTGGGTGCTGTTCCAGCTGCTTCAGTGGTATTTACGCCAGCGATAACGCTCTGGAAACACAAGAAAGGGAGAACACGAGAGGACAGCGTCAGCACAGTGCTCTGGGACTGCAGGAGTGCAAGTCCTGTAGGGGAAACTATGAACACAGCCCAGTGAATCCCTCCTCAGTTATGAGTAAAACCAGGGAATGGGTGTTGAAGTGTTGGAGCACCCCTTCTGCTATGTGCAGGGTTTAAAAGTGCTCCTGATGGTTCCTGGAGCTGTCCAGGGAGAAGCTGTGAATCAGGAACTGGTTTCACCACCTTTATTAGCTAATTCCTCTGCCCACCTAAGCCAGGTCAGGATATTGCTCTCTGAGCTCTGATATTAATCTTAACTGTGAAGTAATTATTTCAGAGCCTGAATTAACATGAATGGCAAATACTTTTCTGCTGCTGCAAAAGTGAGAAGTCCTGAAACAAGACTGGTACCAAGAAAGGAATCTTACTGATGTGCTGATAGTTCCAGGCATAGCTGAGGAGGCAGTACCCAGCCAGCAGCATGGAGACTCCGGCTGGTCCACCCTTCTTCACATTGATGTATTTGTTGTAGTAGCTGTTCCAGGCTGTTGGAACAGAAATGTGAGGGTCAGATCACGTGCAGGTCTTATGAGTACACTGGTTTCCCCATCACTTCCCAAAGCCAAATGGTTGGGTTTGGTTATTTACTTCTATAAAGATCCATCCAGGCTCTGCTCACTTGGACCAGGCTGTAGTGGGTAAATGGGATAGCTCTGCCCCAGGGGCAGGAATTCAGCCTCACCTCTCTGTGCTCCTCCAAGCAGCGCCCGAGGGGAGAAGTCTCTGGTCGTCACCCACAGGGGCAGCTCCCCCAGCCTCACGTCCATCAGCCGCCCTTCCAGGAGCGGACCTGTGCAAGGAGAGTGGTCAGAGGCAGGGAATGAGGGACTCGGGAAGGGAGAAGGAATCGTCTCTCCCACAAAGGGAGCTGGCTTCACCAGTACAAGCACGCAAAAGCCTGACTCAAACTGAATACAAGTGGAACCCTTTGGGTTTGCAGGCTGCAGGGCTGGACACCTGAACCTCCACAGACCATTCCTGGATCCCTTTCCAGATAAGCCCAGTGTTTCCCACCCCTCCTCTCCCAGTCACATCAGCCAGTTGAGCCTGGCAGTGCAGGGAATCAGCTTGTGTTTCCTACATTACCTTGCTGCCCCTCGGAGAAACTGCCCATTGGTGTCTTCATTGCGATCCCCACATCCCCATGGAAAGGCTTCCCTGGAAAAATCCTCAGCCCATCATAATTAGGATGTAAGTCTGGAAACCACTCCAAGCCCAGGGCCCCTGCCTGCGTGCTCCTGCCAGGAGCCCGGGGCAAGCAGATGGGATGGCTTTGGGAAGCGCGGAGCACGGGCTGGTGCAGGGCCAGCTCAGCATCCCTCCTTGCGCTCAGGATGGGCTCAGACACCATCTGCTGCGCGCTCTCACTAAGCTCCTGTGTGCTGCTTAGGTAAGTTTTGGATGTCCCTTCGCTCTGACCTCCGGGAGCTTCCGTCACGGACAGATGGAGGTTCTTGCTGTGCAGAGCAGGAACAGGGGCTTTGTGCCCCACAGCAGCCTCCGGGTGCCCCCGCTTCTCTTCCACCCCGCTTTTGCCCGTTCCCGCCTGCAGCACAAGGTCACCGGCGCCGCTGCTGCCGCTGGCCCCGGGGGCAGCTCCAAGTACGGGCGGTTCCGTTGCCTTTAAGCGGCCCTTTCCCCGCTCTGAGCTCGCAGGCTCCTTCCCCGCAGCTCCAGGCCCCTCCGTCTCCGTCCCCCGGGCACCGGTCACTGCCTCCCGCGGGCCGCAGGGGGCTCCCCTGCCGCCGGCCCCGCTCTTGCCCCGCACCAGGCGGGCGCGGTGCTTCTCGATCACGATTTCCGCGCCGTTCCTCAGCGCTCGGGGCACGTCCTTCACCTCCTCGGGGGGCAAATCCAGCGCCCTGGCCACCTCCCGCACCGCGCCGGGGACGGGCCCTCCGCAACGCTCTGCCGCCGCCGCCGCCTTCTTCTTCCCCTTGCCGGGCAGCCCCTTCCCTTCACCGGGGCTCGGCGGGCTCTTGCCGCTCTTAGCGGCTCGGTCCGTGGTCCCGTTCGGCGCGGCCTTGCAGTGCGGGAGGTGTGAGCGGAGCCGCTTGAAGGGCTTGCGGCAGTGCGGGCAGCACTCCTGCCCCGGCGGGGCCGCGGACATGGCGGCGGTGCCCTCCCCCCCCCCCAGCCCCGTTACCGGGGGTCCCGGCCCCGTTCAGGCGCCGCCGCCGCCACCCCCGCGGGGGCCTGGTCCGCGCTCCGCGCGCAAGCTGTGACGCTACCGGGATGGGGGCGTGGCCACGGCCCGGGGAGGGCGCTGCGCATGCGCAGGAGGCGGCGGACGCCGGAAGCGGCGGTTGGAGCCGGGCGGGGGACGCCTCGCCTCAGCGGTGGGCGGCGGGCAGGGGCCAGGCCGGAGCCAGGCCGCACCGAGCGGGGACCGAGCCGCGCCCCGACATTCCCGTCCCGTCGCGTCCCTCCTCGCACAGCCCAGCACAGCCCGGCCCGGCCCGCCATGAGCTGCCGGCAGCCGAGCGAGCGGGGAGCGCGGCAGAGGTGAGGCGGGGGAGCGCGGCCTGCGGGGGGCTGTGGCCCGTGCTGCCGCTGCGGTGCATTGAGCAAGGGGGGAGCTGCGAAGGGGATGGGGGGAGAGGAGGGGAGCGGCCTCCTGCGCTGCAGCAGGGGCTGAACGGGAGCTGGGATGTGGTGGTGAATGCTGAAGGGGGAAGCCGCGGGTCGGGGTTGGATGCGCCTGGGAGGTCAGAGAGAATGCGGAGGGTATGGGGGGGCCCTCGAGGTGTGTGTTGGTGGGGAAGGGGAGGGGGGGGGGAGAAGCAGGAGGGACTGTGGAGCACGTAGGAACTGGGCCCCCTGTGGCAGTGCTGGCCGAGGGGGATGGAGGTGTGAAGAGAAGGAGGGATCTGGAGGCGATGCAAGGGGGGAAGGTCTCTTCCTAGGAGAGGGAGAGACCGATGGGTGGGCAGCGGCTGAGGGGGCTGTGGGCACCCAGGGCTGGGGAGTGAGGAGGCAGCTCCTGCTCTGTAGGCGTGGAGCAAACACTGACAGCTGAGTCTGCTGCGGGAGCTTGTCTGTAAGAGAAGATGTGGTTATAAATACCTCACTTGAGGCTGTTTTGATTCATTTGAGTGTGTATTCCATTTTGGGCACTGAAACTGCTCTATCTTATATTTTGGTTAGTGCCCAGCGTGCCGAGGTCCTGGTTGACGTGATGTTTGTAGAGTGGGAAGCATCATCTGATATTAGTACTGAAATACTGTGGGCACTGAGGGACGTTGCTTTGCAGGATTCTGGGTCACTGTTTTGAATCAGCTGCCGTGAAGCAGCAAGGATGTTATGGGAGGATGGCAAATCCATGGGGTGTGAGGAAGGATTTGTCTTCTCTGAGGTGTTTTCTGACAAAGCTTCCTTTCCACATGGAAAACTGTTGCAACTTGACTTCAGATGCTGTTAGAACAGAGAGACTTAACTCACCCCAGGCACTAACTGCAGGCTCATGCAAGCAAGGTGAATGTAATTGGGTGTTCATGGACAGCGTGGTCACTGCTGCTCTTCCAGGTGCTGTTCTCAGCCTGTCAGATGTCATTCAGAGTCTCAGGCTTATTTTTAGATGTGACTGAGTATTGAGAGCAGTTGCAAGGCTGAGGGTTGTCAAATGGGTTTATTTAGGAAGCTGCTCAGCACTGGGTTTAGTGGCAGGTGTGAGTCCTGATAGAAACATCAGCCTGGCTGCTTTGAGAGAAGCATGATCATTTCTTCTCTGTTCTGGAGACAGCAGCTAAGAAGAGACTGTGTCCACAGCACGTCAGAGGTTTAGATACAGCATCAATTTATCAGGTTTTACCCTTAGTTTTGAGTTGCCTTTAGAGAACAAAGCAGAAGGTTTATAAATAAGCTGCTAATGCTTTTTTTTTCTTTTCTCCTTTCCCCCTGCACATTCTTCAGGAAGAGGAGGCGGAATGGCAGTGAAGATGATGGTCACATTCCCCAGACAAAGCGTAGTACCAGGAGTACTGTCCTTCAGGACTCTTGGGACACTGAGGTGAGAGCCTTCTCGGGCACAGTCAGTTCCCTTTGATGCTGAAGTTAAATAACAGGTGGAATAGTCTGTGAAATTGTATTCATGGAGAATGTGAGCTTTGTGTATGTCAGCTCATGAGGCTCAACTCTGTTACTGACTTCAGAGGCTGAAATCTGTGAAGCGTGGTTTGGAAATCAGCGTTTTCTAGGGAATCTGGTTACCTGGGGCCTGAATATCACTGTTACTGTGTTTCAGACACTGATTCATAGCACCCAAGTGAAGATACAAGAAAAGCATTTGCTGCCACTTCTGGTTTTGCTCTCTGAAATGAGGTGTGATGTCTCCAGCACCAAGGAAGTGGCTGGGGTGGATGACTGTGTGTGGTTACTTGGCCTGGCCATCTACTCTTACAGCTATGCAGTTACACACAGTAACGTGATTATTTGTGGTACAAGGTCAAAAAGCATCCAAGTCGTGCTGGTTGCAGTAATTCTTATCTGATGGTTAAAAAATGCTCTGCTGGAGCTCAGCAGTTCAAGCAGGACTTGATTGTTCACAGCTAAACCATTCAAACTGTTGGGTTTCTGCTTGTGTTTGCTGTGATCCTTTGCTGGAGGTGGGATAAATTGTCTCTTTTTCTCTCGCTGCTCTCATGTCAGGTGTTCTGGGATGGTGCATTTGCTATTTATGAGATTTCTTTTTATATAAAATGCTGATTTCCAAACTGCTGCCAGATTCCCTGAGTTGGTGTCTGTATTAATCATCCGAAACTTCACTGTGTGCATTTCTCATTAGCAACGTGGTTCTGTTGCAAAATGCTTATGAAGGAGAGTGTGGGGCAGAGGCTCCCTCCTGCTTTGTGTTAACAGAATTGATTTCTTGCAAGGCTTTTGAAACATTCTTGTAGATTTTTGTACAGCCTTTTCACTGCAGATTGCCTGTAACGAGTCATCATGAACTGTTGCACTTACATTGAACTATTAACTATACTATGCACAAAATAGTGTATGTATAATGGAAATAGCTATATGCCTTTGAGCAACATATCTTTTATCATAGAAAAATGGTTTCAAATGTATATTCACATTTAAAATGACAAGAGCTCTGTAGCCCACCGTTGCTTTTTTTTGAGGGAGACTTAACCCATACACCTTTACAAGCAGTTGATGGGACAGTCCCTGGCACTGTATGGAAAATGCTCCAAGAGCTGAGATATTCATCAGGAAGGAATTTGTTGTGCTGAAAACTGTTCCTGGTTCCTGTATTGTTGTTTAGGCAGCGGTAGAACTTGCTGGGATGAGGTCGTTTTTGCTTCTCGGGTATAACGGGTAGAACCATCCATAGCTGCTTTGCCATCTGACACTGACTCACTTGTCCAACAGGTTAAACACCCCTCCGTGTGTAGAGTAGTTAATGGCTTTGTGGCGGGAGGAGGAAGAATTTAGTGTGGAACAAGGGATTGGAGTAGGAGTAATGAAATTAAGACAATCAGGAAAAGCCTTTCATGGTGAGTGGCAGAAGCACCTTTGCTTGTCATGTAAACACTTGGCGTTTGACTGGGCAAAGCCATTGAAATGCAGAACTGTCAATAAATAGCCTTGTAGTAGCCCCGCAGGAATGGGTGACCTTAACTGTGTCCTGAACGGCTGCTTTGTTTGGGTGTCTGCAGCAAACAGCATGGGCATGGCCCGTCTGCCCCACCACCCCAAGGTCAGTGCCCAGGCTAACACCAGGCTCCTGCTTCCTGCATGCACTTGCCTTGTGGAAGTCTGTTTTTAACACATTAAACCCCCATGTGCAGGCAAGGAGAAGCTCTATTGACATTGAACGCAGGTTTCAGTGTGCCCTCTCTCCAGGGAGCAAAACTCACAGTGTTGCTGCTGATGAATAGAGCTTGTTTTATTTCGGCTTGTTTTGCACCGTAGGATCAGCACACTGAGCATGCCCAGACATTCAAGCCAGGAGATTAAATCAGGTTTAGTTGAATGTCTCTTAAAGGACTTCCTGTGCCAAATAGAAGCATTCATGTGCTTACAGCGCACAAGTGCTTCCGATTGATGGCACTTTGGAATTCTAGGCCATTTGTAATACTTTCATTCAGTTGCCTGATAGTTTGCCATTAGGAAAGACAGCTCTTTGTGATTAAAAATCATCACAGGCTTTGGGATATTGAGCTAGGAGGGAACGTGTGTGTAACTTCAAAGGGAAGAGCAGATAAGTGCTTTTCATCTGAGGGCATACCCACACCCGCTATTGCGAAACATGAGCTGAAGTACCGATTCCTTTTGCCTCCCTTGGGTTGGAAATTCACTGTTCTACAGTGTGGTTTACTGAGAACATAAAGCTCAGTATGAAAGGAGGCAATGTGGTACTGGAACTGCACTTGGATTTTGTCAGGACCTCTTCCCATTTTATTTTTACTGACAGCAGTATGTATAGGATGAAGGGAGGTATTTTTCTTCATGGCAGTTCAAACGGGCTGTTGTGTGGTGTTATCCCTCAGTCCCTCCCTTTGAGCCCTGGGTCTCACATGAGCTGGGTTCAATGCAAAAGGACATGGCTGGTTTGTCCCACTAGGCTCTCACCCAGGGGAGATGGGATCCTTCACTCTGCCTTTTACAGGAGGGAGATTGAGGTTCTCTTCCATCTCAATCAATACTGCTCTTGGCCCATTGCGGTAATGAAGTGCATCTCCCGCAACAAACCACCCCTGAGTGACAGCCACCCCGAGGATAATAGCAGACCTCTGCTCTGCAGCTGGCACATGATGAAACACTGCACTAGAACTCAAGCAGACGTTAAACATTAGCGAGGCAGAGCCTTTGCCACCGCATTTTGCTTCCTGCTCAGCCTGTCCCTTTTACCAGGAGGTCAGCTCTGCTGTGGTCCCTGCTGCTTGGGTATATATGCAACAAAAGCACTTCTTCCTTGCTGGGTGTAAGTCAGGTCAGGCAGTTGTAGTGGATCCTCTGAGGGGCTGCCACGGGAGAACCCAGGGAATCACCACTGCAAAGCCCTTTGCTCTGATTTTCCCTGGGAAGGAAGGGAGTCTCCCTTCCTGCATAACTGCTGTAAAACCTGATTTCTTGTGGTTCCTCTTTGTTGTGCTGACCCATGACAGGATTCCCCAGTGCTCAGCACCACCGCTGTGTTACGGGTGGAGGTCGCTGACGCACAGCAGCGCCGCTGCTCCCACGTCACAGGATTTGTCTCCGCCGCTCCACGGTGTGACACGGTTGAGGTCTTGAATTCAAACTGAAGCCAGATAACACCTCTGTTAAACTCATCTTGAACGATCTGGAGAGCAGCAGGGTCTCAATGACTGTTAAAGTTCCTGTCACAGTGAGATGCTTCGTCACAGATCACGTTAATAGATTTAACAGGACTTTTGTTTGGAAGTGATTTAAAACTCCCCTAGCTCCTCAGTGTGATGTTAAGAGGTGCTCATGAGTCAGGTAAACCTCAAAGATGCCTTTTGATACTTGAAGTACTTATAAACCTTCATTGGGCTCCTTTCCTTTGCCCTTTTGCTTTGTTTCATTGTGTAGATGCCTGTCATTGCTGACATGATGACTATAAGGATTCTTTTTTTGTCTAATTGTAGTCCAAATGCGTTACAGAATGTGCACCACAGCCTGGGGAAATGGTAGGTCCCTGACATGGTTTGGGCAATAAATGGGCTTCACTGTGCTAGTGAACTTTTGCATTAGAGAAATGGAAATAAAGAGGGTCTGACAAAGCAGATCTGTCAACAGCCTTAGGTGCAGGAAGCACGTCCCAGGACACAATTTCGGCTTTAAAAAGATGAGAGATGCATAAAATAATCATCGCTAACTGCTCTAAAATGTTTGTTGAGATGTGAAACTTCAGCAGTCAGTAATACCAGGTTCTCATTTCGATTTTTACCTTGATTTGCAGAAGGTGGCTGTAACGAAAAACAGTAAGGAACAGAGACTAAAAGGCAACAAAGTGTCCTGTGCGGTGGGTTTCTCTCCAAGGCTGCTGTGGCTTGTCCAGCGTAACAGCATTGCATTCAGTACCTGTGCTTCTATGCAAAACGGGATGGTGTAGCCAGCACCATGTCCTGCCTCCTCTCTGTCCTCCTGGGGTTCTCTCCCTCTCTAGTGTTAGCAGGGTTAGGAAGAGGAGCTGCTGCTTCCTCAGGGATGACTTCACCCATGTGTTGCTGTCATCTCCTTGCTGAAGCAAGCCTGGGTGCCGTTGTCTTGCTTGCTGCACTGCCACAGAACTGAAGCATTTTTGGTGCTTAACAAAACAAGGACATTTAGAAGGTTGGATTGTCATGTGGAATCAGTGCCCTGGGGTTTCCAGTGGCACTGAGGTGTGGTCCACCCCAAATCCTCATTCACTGCCTTCCTAGGCAGTTATCACTGCTCATTGAAGGACTGTTTGCACCGTCCTTCAGATACATTCGCAGTGAGGCCTCCTGGATGTGGTGCTGACTCTTAAATGACTAGACTTCTTCAAATTGGTCTTCTGCTGTGGCCACCGAGCTTTGACTTCTGTGGTTTTAGTTTAATACTTAAAATATGGGGGGGGGTGTGTGTTATTTAGCTGCTGTCACTTCTGCTGGCTGCTTTTATGAATTTACTTCTCCTGGGATGGTGGTGTAGCCATTCTCTCCTTCTTAAGCACCTAAATATTTCCAGTGTTGTCTTGAACAACCTGTCGCACAGTAATGAAACATTTCAGCTGTAACTAATGGAACCTTTCATTAGCAGCCCTTAAAACAGTGTAAGCCAAAGAGTTTTATGTCTTTGAAACGCTGAAAATGATGGTTAGGGCTCTTCCAGTCATTACCATGAAGTGTAATGCTGGCAAATGAGCCCTGTCCTCTCTGTGAGCTAAATCATGACTTTTCTGCATGTGGAAGTTTTTGATGCTCTTCTGCTGTCCTATCAAGTAAATCATTATGGAAGACTACTGGGACTACACTGCTGTCCCAGTGCTTAACTGGGAAAAGCTGTGTGTATGTCAAGGTGTTCAAAGACTTAAAATGGGAATTGTGCTGCTTTTAACAACCTCTTGCTTTGGATGCTTCAGATCTCATTTTAGAAAGATTGACTTGTAGGAAACTGCTTTGCATGGTGCTTACCTAAAGTGTCTGCTAGAAGAGAAGAGCACAGCTCTCCCTTGCCCTGTCTGCCTTCACTGCCACCTGCAGCTCAGCAGGAATGTGCTTTATTTCCCAGTTCTCGGATGAACTCAGCAAACTTCACTAGTGCTAACATGGGTCGTGGGGGCAGAGCTGGTGGGTTTAACACTGAAAGATGAAACCCAATGCACCAGAGGTCAGCAAACCTCCAGGTGAAAGTTTGCTCATCCCTTCAGCTCTGCAGAGCTTTCCAGGGGTTGGCGGTATCGGAAGCGATGAATGCCAAGAAAGCACTTGGTGGATTTATGTCACTCCATCAGGCTGAATGTGAGCCTGAAATATGAAAGGGAGGGACTTACTGTAAAGATGATTTGCTTATCTAAGGTGTCTCCTGCTACAGACAGGAGAGAAAACAGTGTGATTTTGCCATTAACCTTCTCTTTGTCTCAGTCTTCCAGCAGTGATAGCGGCAGCAGCAGCAGCAGCTGTAGTAGCAGTAGCATCAACAGCCCTGACAGAGCGTGCAGTGCAGAAACCAGCCTAAACCCCGTCATTGCGGGATCCAGCCCTGTCTCCTCTCAGTCCTTCCATGAGCAGTCTGCACTAAGCCAAGGTCCTTACTTCCACATCAACCAGATCCTGAAGGAGGCACACTTTCACAGCCTACAGAGCCGGGGACGCCTTCCCACATGATGAACCAGCAGCTCCCTGCCTTCTGTGAAGGGACAGCACTGTGTAGATTTGATATTTCAACTCAAAAGTTTGTTAAACATGGAATTGCACAAAATGCCTGTTGCCTTTTCAGTCTATATTTGAAATAACAGGTTAACAGGGAATTGTTTACTTGTGGTTTGCTGCACTATTGCAATGCAAAAGGGGCTTTTAAGCAATTTTTATAGGATTCATTTTTGGGGTGGTTTTAAAGTACTTGTCAGGAGGAGACTTGAGGAATCCACATTTGTGTTATAGGATTGCAAAATGTCCAATTCCAATTGACCGCCTAATCTGTTTGTTAGCAGTTTATTGCTTTCTGTAAAGTTCTTTCCAGCGTTCATCTTCAGTTTTATAAGTCTTTTTTAATTTCAATAAAATAGTAAAAAATTTATTTGGCAACATAATTCCTTTGAGCATTGAGAGTCACTGAGACAGGGAGAATAGGTGCTACCACTGGAATCCCTTAGGACTGCTCCAGTGGCAAACTTCCCACCTAGCTCAGTGCAGGGTGAGCTTTATCTGGATGGAGCTTTACTGCTGCAGTACTGAAATGTGAAACTAGAAGCAGGAAGGTTCAGGCAGCTGGAGCTGCAGTGCCAGGCGCCCGCTGGGTTCATACTGGAGCAGACTGGTGGTACCTGATGGCAAGAGGAGTCTGATGTTGCTCCAGTGCCCGTTTCTAGCTGTGAAATATTTTCTGTTAGTGTGTAGGTTGTTTTGGTTTTTTTTTCTTTAATTTGATTTTAAGGCTAGCAACTTCTAAGGAACAAGAGGGGAAAAAGTAGCTGCAGCCAGAGGGCACGGACATCCCTGACCCGCGCCTGGTTCACGTGGCGCACTGTGACCTGGCTAAGGACAGACAACACTCCTCTTCCGACCGCACCAGCAGAGGTGACCCGGTCCCTGCCGAGGGGGGAGAACGACCTCAGTGAAGACAGACACACAGCCAGATGTTTCAGTTTTTACTGGGTCACTTGGTCATGCCAGAAAGCCAGCCCAGCTTGAAGAGAGAAGGTGCTGCTGTGTCTTCCTCCTCGGTTACAAGCTGCCTGAACAAAGAGCCAGGGCGCGACGCCTCGTCTTCTGCTCTTGTGAGTACAGGAGGTGGAACCTGTTAGTTCATATAACAAAACCATCTGTAACTATTCGAGCATACCTCTGAATTCTCCCTGCCCTCAACTACAGCCACTGCAAGGAGGCGTAGGCTACAGAACAGCTCTTCCCAGGCAACGGGAGCTTGAACCACAACCGAAGCAGCGCCACTCCAGGCGGTGAGTGACAGACTGTTCTGAGCAGCAGCAGCACAGCATCTGGCTGTTGTTAGCAGCAGGTGACTCTTTTGATGTCATTCAAAGCAGACTTTAACCTCTCCAGAACCATTTGAGCATAAAAGAAGGAGCAAGCATCTGTCAGGTGTTGACAGAAGTGTGGCTAGCACTGAACACACATGTGCCACCACAGCAGGCGAGGGGAGTGGTAGGAGCGAGCCACACACCACTGCACACTTCTACTCCAGCTGAGGTGTAAGAGGTAAACAATACCCTTAGTGTGAAGCTTTGGGCTTTCAAACAGCCCTCATACTACGTCTGGTCTGGCCTCAGACCACGAGTAATGGAGAACAAGAGTTGCAGAGTAAACTGCATCAGCATCTCAGGTAACACTCAGACCTTTTCTGTCCCCATTGAAGGGACATAACCACAGATGGATTATTGTGTTAATAATAGCTAAAGGAAAGAGATTACTAATTACTGCTTCCTGTAGCAGTGAGGTATTCCTTGGCTCTCAAGCCTCAGCACAGAGAACTCCATCTAAGTGGATGTTTTAAATGTAGCAACGTAAGTTGTCTACTTCTAAAACTCAGAAACAGGACAACACAAAGCCTTTGCAAGAGAAGCAAACCACTCTGCTCACACAGGCTTCAATACCCAAGCCAGGCTTCGTCAGGAGTTAGAGGTCCGCATCCCACTGGAAAGGAGTTCAGATAATTAGCTTGTATCCTTCAAGAGTTCTTGCAGCCATCTTTAAATGAATTGTCTTCTATGCAATGACCTCAGAATGCCTCATCCCTGCGTTTTTATGGTGGTTATTGCTTATGTTTTACCACAGAGCAGAGAGCCCCCAAAATCCAGGGGCCATCAGTTGGTTTGTTGAGGGTCAAGGGGAAACCCATCCTGTGCTGTGTTGCTGCAATGGTTCTCTGGTTTTACCGAAAATAAAGATGAGGTTAAACATGAACTGCTTGGCTGCTTTGTTCTTTCCCTACAAGCCCTAGTGTTGGCGGCAGAATGAGTACTGCCAGGAAGTCAGTACAGCCCCATTCACTGACCTGAACTCTGTCTGTGCTCCTAGAAGCAGACTTGGTCTTCCGCGAGCTCGACATACTCAGCGGCAGAAGTCCAAATCTTGCAAGAGATGGAAGACAAAAATGTGGCCAGTCAGAGGGAGGCAGCGATTCCAGGCATTGTGCTTCCCCAGAGAACACAGGAATGCCTCACCTGATCTGGCTGGATGCTAACGGCAAGATGTTGTGTTGCTCCTGGGAGCTGAGCGTGCCGCTCCTGCTCGTGTACTGGTTCTCCGTCCCGGTCAGCAAGCCGAAGAGAACCTAGGAGGCACGAAGGGGCTGTCTGCATTTGGGAGCAGCTGAGTGCACCGTACACTGGTGAGCACGCTGCTTGGATGGGGTTTAAGTTTGAACACAGTGTCTCCCTTCCCCCTCTAACTCTTGCTTTTAATTGGCACTGCTTTTTATCACGGTAGGTTAGTTTTAGGCCTGTTTCAGCACTACTTAACCCGATTAGAGCTGCACAGGCTCCAGTGAAGCCCATTAGGTAAAGTTCAGCCAACTCCTCTTATCTTCAGCTGGCATTAAATACTCTTCCCGTTTCTGCCTAAGTGCCTGCAGTTATCTTTAGGCATTAAGCAGTTTATGAAGCTGCCCTTCAGAACACGTTTTGCTTCCTGCTCCCTCCCTGTGCCTTGAACTCACGGAGGTTCGCTGAACCAGGCGATTCAGGTTGCTGTTCAAGTGTGGAGTGAAAACATCCAAGTCAAACGGATCTATGTGTCCCTCCAGGAAGTCTATCACCTTCTCCATCCTAGGAGCAGAGCAGAGGAGCCCTATCAGGGGTTACATCCCAGCACCGGTTGCCAAGGCCAACAGAGCGGTTTCACAATGAGGTGACAGCAAAAACGGGAATTACTCAGCAGAACAGCTGAAGTTTCCAGCTATTCCACAACCTACAACGTCTGCTGCTCAGAGGAACCTCCTCCCTGTGGTACATCCCAGAGAGAGATGCCTCAGTTGTCAAGACTGGAACATACACAAAGTTTTAACTCTATAGACACGCTGTATATGGCAGGCCACCATCTCCGAGCGCTCGGCTCCAGAATTCCCCCCCACCTCCTATATTTTGAGGATGAGCGTCCTCCTGGGACTGATAAAGCTGCTGGTTTAAACCATTTTAGGACCCCAGAAGCTCCTGCTGGTATCTGAACCCCACAACTGCATCGCACCTGGAGTCGTGCTTGATCCTGCTGGGTTTTGTTTCCTCACTCTTCGCTGTCAAGATGATGCTCAGGTACCGCAGGTCATAGAGTAGCTGCAGAGCTCTGTTCTGGGTCATGGGGAAGGTGCCTGCTTTCTGCAAACAGGGAACAAGGTTCTTCACTCACGCAGAAGGTGTCAAAGGACTGCTTCAGAGAAATGCTTAGAAACACCAGCATCGAGCACCATCCAACCTAACAACCGTTCTGAACAGTCTGGTGTCTGATCCCTTACTGCCTCATTTCTGGGGCAGGCAGGGGAAGACTGTTCTCACCCTTTCCAACGCTCACAGGCAGACACTTTCCATGCTGAGGGATCATCCTGCTCACGTACCTTCTCCTGCTTCTCCTCCATAAGCTTTTCATAGGCAGCAAGCACTTGTGCCATGCAACCCCTCAGCAGCTCCTGCAAGGTGACTTTGGGAAGAGTGTGGCCACCGACCCGGTTCACCTCTTGGCACAGGCTGAAGAGGAGGCACTGCACACACCAGGAGGGCTGTGGAGGAAAACCCTGTTAGTTTAACATGGTCTGTAAGCTACATTAACTTTAGCAGCTTCCTACTTCTGTGTATAAACCAGGCCTAAGTCCTTCAGTTCAGCTTTACAGCATCTGAGCCAATGTTCTTCATCCTTAGGAGGTATCTCAAAGAGCAAGTAAAAGCACTGGGGAGCATTTTGCTGTGCTCATAATACCAAGCAAACTCCACAGCAGGCCAAAGTGCTGGCTCTGGAGGCTTCTCCTCCCAGCAGGCTGTTTCTGTGTGTTTACCACGGGGATGCACCTCGTACCTGCATGGGCAGGCGGATCTTGGACGTTACGGTGGTTCCAGACTCGGTCTCCTCCTGAATTTCAGTTTCATCCCAGCTGGTGGCTGTGGCCAGGACAGAGCCAGCCGTGTCCAGCAGCAACGTGCGGGTAAAGCACTCGACCAGCCCCTAACAGCACAAAAAACAAAGCACGCAGTCAGAGGACAGGCAGCCTGTTCCTGCCTGCAGAGAGGTTGATCTCCCACAGCCCCCCTTGCCTCCCAAAGTCAGTTGTACAGAGACCATCCCACTAGATGCCACCTCCTCTCCCCAGGTGCAGCATGGAAGCAGCACAGTGAGCTCTCAGCAGCCAGCTAAGGAGCAGCAACGCTGACCGCAGGGAGCTGAGTGAGTACAACCCATGCAGGAAGCAGTGGTGAGGGGAGAAACAGCTCCTTACTTTGGTGACAGCCGAGCTCCAGATCCGGTAAGCAAAGAGGCTCTGCTGCAGGAGCTCTGCCTTCACCCCCTGCCACTTGGTCTGCACGGGGCTCACTTCCTGCGCTTTCCCCTTCCCCAGCTTCTTGGTGGACCGGGTTTCCTTCAGCACCATCTCCGAGCTGCCCGACCGGCCCAGGACACACTGCTTCAGGTGAGGGCAGAGCTCGCTCAGGGACTGGCAGAGCCTGGCCATGAAGAGGACAGCGTTGAGTCTGGCATCACTGGGAGCATCCGCCTGCCCCCCCAGCAGGCTCTGCGTGCTCTGGAGCTCTTCACGCACACAGCCCAGTACATGGTGGATGCAGGCGACGCAGCGGTCACGGAGCAGCCCCTCCACTGTGCCGGCATCAGAGTAGCGGTCAAAGGCAGAGCGCGGCTGCACGGCGGGAGCAGCCTCCTTGGCCGAGGGGTCCACGGGGAGGTAGGAGAGGAGATCATCCAGCCTGGCCTTCAGCTTGGAGTCCAGAGCCGAGCAGAAGCTCTGCACGCACGGCGTCAGCGCCTGCGCCTTCATGGCCAAGCCGCTCTTGGCGAAGGGGCCGCGGTTTGCCACGCTGACCCAGGCGGCGTCGCAGGGCAGGTCGCTGGAGCTCTCTG